TGCCGGGCTGGGAAGTGTTCGCCTTGGGAGCCCCCACCAACACACTGAACCTGGTGGGGAGGAAAAGGAACATGCAAGACATGCAGGGAAGTGTACAATGCTTTATGCAAACGTGTGCAGTCAATGCACAGTTTGGCTCATTCATAGTTTCTGTTTCATAACTGTTTTGCTCTGTGCAACATAAATCTGAGTCATTCATGCTTCTTCTGCACCATTACAGTATGATATGCAGCATGTGCAGCTACAGAGATGATACAGCTCAACTTCTTTTCAGCTGAGTTATATTTATTCCCACTTCTATACTTCTATTCAACTGAGTCTACTGTAAGCTGTCAAACCAGAAGCACAGGCATAGTTTAAGTTGAATTACTGTTGGATCATCACTCCTGCTGCTGAACCCTGATGGGACAACTTGCCACTCACGTGTTGCTGTCGGAGGTAGCTTGATAGAAGTCCACAGAATAGCCGAAATAACTTCCATCGGGTCCCTTGTAAACCGTAGGATGCTCTGCGTAAAGGTTAAAACTCCAAACTCCACTTAGCGCCGGACACAGCACCGACAGCACCCCGAGAATAAACATCCCAGCGGAGGAAACACAGTCCCATACACGCTCCATCCCCAAAAAGAAACAGCCAGCTGCGCACTATTCCCCAAAAATAAGAGGGAAGTTGGGGAAAGAGAGGGAGAGAGAGTTTCCTCCGTGCAGGTGAGGTAGGTTTGTCCTGGGTTAAGTCCGCCAACTGGCTGTCACTGGATCACTGCGCTCCCCCTCAAAAAAAAGCTGCCTCCTGACACCCTGAAACCACCAGGTCTGCCCAGAGTCTCAGCTACGAGACTACACAACCGCGCCCCCGCCCTCTGCTCAAAACTTTACCCCCTACACACACACATACACACACTCACACACACATCATAAGGCTCAGACCACATCTGAGCGCGCAATGCTGGCGCGTCACCGCTCCTTTTATGGCACTGCCTAATTTTCTGTGGCGAATTCTGCGCTTTAGCCTGATACAATAAATAATATCAAAGTGAGATTTACAGCCAACCTCCCAAATATACAGTCACAGGCAGGCGCACGCGGAGACTTGGCGCGTACGCACGCAAAACGCAAAGATTTGTCCATAAATTAAACCACCTTTTTCTTTTTATTGGCAGCTTCGTTCAGTCCTGCCAGTAAAAAACAGAGCTGCATTTCCTTCCTTGGAGAATAATCTCTTGTAATTATGTCAGTAATTATTACGTCGACTCACAGCAGAGATCTCTTGAGCTGCAAGTTTAGGCAGTTTTGGCCCGCTCGCTGTTTCACTCAACACCAGGCGATTTCCCCTCTAAACCTCCGAGGTAACATACTTCGCTCTTGCTGAAAATAATATCCTGCAATGAAAAACAGTTTAAAGAGGTGACGGGCCAGAGCAGGCTGCTTTTTGTATATTTAGCTCAGCACAGCATTCTTCTTATCAAACAGCTCTGTTCATGTGCAGGGCAGAGATGAAGAGAGATGGATGTTGCACCCACTTCCAGGCCAACTCCCACTCAGCTGTTTATCAGCTTGGGGAGTTTGTTTTAATTAAACTGTGCTTTATGGGCACATTAATGATGAATTAAACTGCACCACCAGCCTCATGATGTAGTAAAACAGTTACAGCGGGGCAACACTACAGTCAGTCAGAGTGTGTTTTCTGTCAGGAGACTTGATAAGAACCAGGTGAGAAGTTAAGGTAAAGAGTCAATGTGGAGAGCCCAAACCTTGACCTGCCAGATGGAGGAGTTTCTCACCTCCACGCCCTCTACCTGCCCTCCTGTTCTCCTTCAACACGTTTCCTTCCTTCCATCCATCAATTCCTTCCAGTAACCCTGTCTCCTTCCTTTATGGTTTCATTTAATATGTGCAAACTTGGTTCACCTCGTCACATTTCCATGATCCCTTTGTGTGCAACAGTGGATTCTGTGTGTGTGTGTGTGTGTGTGAGAAAGAAGGGAGTATGGCAGAGGGTCTGTTCTTTCTCAGCTGTTTCTATGTAAATCTGAGATGAACCGAGGGAAACTTCCACAAAACATGAGAACAAAGGAGAAAAAGAGAGAGATGGTGAGTGAGGACGATGGAGTGAGGAGGCAGCAGACATATTCCTGTTCTTTTGCCCCAGTTGGCTTTGGAGCGGCTGTGTTGCCACGCCAGGTAACAAGCGCTTTAACGCAGCTCAGTTTCAGTGTGTGCGCACTTTCATCTGTAATCACTTTCTCAACTGTCTTACATCCAATAAAATTCTCACAGATATCCCATTTCCAGGAATACACACATTCATGGGCATACTGTTCAGGTTAGGTCCCGCGAGGCTGCCAGTGTGTTCTGATCACAGATTTACTGCAGGTCAATCTGGATTGATTTTTGCAAAGACACACACACACACAATAGTGCTTTATATTCTCCACAGTGCCCACGTTCCCCTTCTCTCTTTACAAACTCCTAATGAGACTGTTAAGCAGACTATTGTGTCAGATTAGGCCCACATCCTTTTTGCATTAGACAAATCCATTAGACACACACCCAGCCAATATTACAACGCTCCTGTGCACAGATGCATACAGGAGCCAGGATATCTGCAGATACACAAACACAAATGCATAAATATTGAGTTAAGAACTCCTGAGCCAGAACTAAGTACTTAAATGGTATAAAGTGCTATTACTCAAACACTTGCTTCTTGTCTTGAGTGGCGACTTAATACCAAACAGAATGGTAGTAACCTTCAGCACTGTGTTGTAGGATGCTATATAAAAAGCCAATTTTTCATTTGTCTTCTTTTGGTGCATTTTGATGATGTGCAAACCCAGACATGCAGTTTTCTAAGGATGATTGTTTTCTGTGTATAGAGAGGTATGCAAAGGACTATGACACTCCCAAATGACCACTTGAAGATCAATTACTCATCCTGTGTTGTTTTTTGTGAAGAAAACTTTATCTTGCATGCCTCCATGGTGAGCAGAGAATCCCAAAACCAAAAAAAATCTTAATGAACTAAAGTCATAGGCGACTGTGTTGGACAACAGTAAAACTACTTCCAAACATCCATTTACAAACCCAAACAATTTGAGCATGATAATCCAAATCTCATTCATCCAGCTGTATGCTCAATACTTCTCAAACGAACTGAACTGAAAGTGAAACTTACTTTTTTCTCTCTTCGAAGCCAGACTCCATTGACAAAAACAGCAGTTTTACCTTGGTGAATACAGGAGCTGCTGGTCTACTGCTGCCTCGATCAGTAGTATGTTTGTATTATTGTGTGACTTTGGTGCATTCCAATGAACCTTTAAAAAAAAACAAAAAAATCAAAGTCACACGATAATAAAGAAATTAACTGATCAAGGCAGCAGTAGACCAGCAGCTCCTGTATTTAGGAAGGTAAAATTACTGTTTTTGTTAATGGAGTCTGGCTTTGAAGAAAGCATAGCTAAGTTTTACTTGTAGTTTAGCTCTGTTTGGGAAGTACTGAGCATGACTGGACAAATTAGACTTTGATTATAATGCACGAGTTGTGTGAGTTTGTAAATTATATAGTTTTACTGTTGTGAGACATGGACCCCTTTGACTTTAATTCATCAACAGTTTATGGATTCTTTGTAGAGCCATGGGGGCATGCAAGAAAAAAGTTTTCTTCTTGACTTCAACGTAACACGGGATGAGTTACTGATATACTAATGATCGTTTTGTGGTTGAAATATTCCTTTAACTCTCCATCAGTGTCTTGGAGATTTAGCGAATCACTGATTTAGAGTCTCTGGGGACACAAAACACAAGTTGGTGTGTGACTTTGAGTTAAGGGGATCCAGATAGACCTTGGACATCCTGAAACCCGAGGCTGTCCATTGTCGAGATCAGGATATTTATGAGAAAAAGACACACGGAGGCGGACATCTATGATTTTAAAGCTACCAAACCACACAACAATTTGAACAAAAAAGTGTTTATTCCAGAACCTTTGAGTGTGATAATAAATACATGAACACTTCTCCAACATCCTAGTGTGGTGCACGAAACACAAACACACAAACATACACACACACACACACACACACACACACACAGAGCACGTAAACCAGCTTCATCTTGATGAAAACACTGAAGAAACCTCGTGTTCACATCTCCAGTTCTCTGCGTCTGGGTTGGTCCCTTTACGCTGTAAACGCTTGTCAGTGAGTGTGATGGTATGTGTATGTGTGAGTCCATCTGTGTGTGTGTGTGTTCTTATATGTGGAAGGCTTTGGTAGGTTTTCCCTCGAACAGTCCTATAGCTGGATTAACAGTAGTGTTTCACAGTCAACTGGCTGTACATGTGGTTCAGCGTGTGTTTCGGTGACACACTTGAGCTGCTGAACCAAACCAGTTTGCTCCCTAAACAGGTTCTAGCTGTCTACTGCTTACTGTAGCAGAGGTGTCGGCACAGAGCAGAGCTGTAAAAATAAACAGTCATTCATTTTTTTTTTTTACTTTTCTTAAATAATTATCAACATCCTGCATGTCAATTACAAGCCATGAACAGACAATAGCATGAACTGGAGAGGTGAGTTGGATTTTTTGTGGAATGTGTGAGTGAGGATGGAAGAATGGATCTCAGGCATTATATGTATGTTAAGTCCACAAAAGTGTCTCAGTCTCTTGTGTGCAGTTGTGTTTTTCTCATTCATCTGTGTTGTTTCTGTGCATGTGTGCCAATAGTTGTAACCTGCTGACCTTTCAGGGTCAGCGTGCAGAGGGGAAGCCGGAGAGGGGTGTGTGGAATAGTAGTGGTCCATCCACGTACACAGGCACACACAAACTGTGTAAGTGCTAGTTCAGTGACGGGGAGCGGTCAGTGGTCCACAGCAGCTCGATGTAGGGCCACTTGGTCTGTAGGCAGCGCTTGACTGGAGTGTCGTCTGTCCGAACCATGGGGTCCTCAAAACCCAGCACCAGAGCTGTTCCCTCCACGTACTCTACCTGAAAACACACACACACGTAGGTCAGTGTACAGTTAATGCAGAGTAGAGCTCCAAGTCTTTTCCTGAGCCTGGTTGGGCCTGACTCCACCTGCTGGGTTTGCCGGGAGAGTGATGGAACAACAGAGCAATATAGTGGAGAACCAGGGGAGAGAGCGCGTGCATGAAAGAGGGATGGAAAATGACAGAGAGGCTGCAGGGTGACTTGGTTGGCAGTGTTTGCTTCTGCTTCCCCTGCAGAGGGAGAGATGTGCAAAACATGCTGTGGAGAGTGAAGACATCATCTGCGCAATGCATCTTCATAAACCAGAATGTGCACTCCAAGACGGAAATACACAGAGGGGCACAGCCTGTTCTGCTGAACCTGTAGTGTGAGACGCAGAGCCAACAACAGACTATTGAAATAACAGGAGGAAGAACACAATGAAAATTTTCTGGGCTCGATCAAAGCTCTAATGCAGAGGTAACTAAACACACACTTTACTCCATCAATCTCTTCTCACACACTTCCTCTGAAGGGGTCAGGGTTGAGATGCCATAGATGGATGCAAGTATACAACAGATACTCACACAGCAGCTGCAGGGGACTGCTGCCGGCAGGTCTGTTATTCCCATCTGGAGCTATGGGAATGGAATCATCATCATAACCTTATAGGCGCCTTGCTGCCATGTGCATGCGTGTGTGTAGGCGTGTGCTTTAGTGTGGGCACACATGTGGTACCATTCTTACATTTTCAGGTAGCGGTATGGAAAAAAATCTGCTTTACAGACTAGACAAAGTTGACAGATGAAGAAAGTGATATTCCTGAGTACCAGGCTTTTTGCGCAGCCACCAACTACATCCAATGACAATCATCCATCAACCTAAGCTTCCTTAATAGGCCTGTGTTTGAACATTTATCACAGCGAGGCCGCTGACAGTGGCCTCCGTGTTGAAAGGACTTGGAGAAATAGGAGGCTAAGCCAGGGTTTTTGGATGGATGGACAGGCTATTAGGCTCGCAATAGCTACTGTTTATTTTGGAGTGGCCGGCCGTCTCCAACTGTGTGTGCGTGCGCATGCATGTGTGTATAAATGATGACAGGAAAAGAAGAGCAGTAGTAAGCTGAGAGACAGAGAGAATATGAAAAGGAACCACCACCATCAGCTGCTTTGACAAACCTGTACATGATATAGTGTCTTACCCTCTCATTGTGGTTGGACTGTTTAAGCCCATTGTAGTGGTAGATGGGAAATGAGTCTGGGATTCCTGAATCCTGAAACACAGGCGGGGAGCAGAGAGAAAAAAAAAGCAATGTTGTTCAAGAGTCTCTGGGCAAACTGTTCTCACAGAGATTGGAGGTAAAGAACCACAGAGGCAGAACATTTTTGAATTGAAAAGTCAAACCGACACATCTCTGCCTGTAACCAAAGCTTAATGTTAAATCCCATGTGTTCAATTTTAAACATGCGTGTGTGTATTTGTGCACTAAAACAAAGCCCAAACTGCAGTTACCAGAAAACACCCAACACTAGAAAAACGTCCGAACAATGACATTGAGCCAAAACACTTCCCGTGACTTTGGCCTAAAGGTGCAAAATGCTAATAGGGTGTGTTGTCTACGAGCGTGTCCAGCCTCTTATGTTTATAAGCCTATATATGAAACCCTAACCCTCACCCCAATCCCACATGTGTCTGAGTGTGTGTGTCCAGTTGGCTAATGGTAGTATAATTTCTTTGCGGCTCGGGGCCGTTCCTCTGGTGAGTCCCTAAAGCCCTGATCACTTTAACACAGTTCCCCTCTATCTCTCCCTCTCCTGTCTTCTTCGTTTGCTCTGCCTCATAAAAGCGTCTTACCGCTCTGTGTAAGCTTCTCGGCAAGTAACGTCACATGATGGTGAACACACGCATACATTTCACATGAGACACCACAGGAATGTTTTGGGCATAAAAACCTTTGATTTGCGAAAACAGCTCTCCACATAAGCTTGGGAAAAAGACATCAGTGTCACACATATGTGTGTGTGTACGACTCTTTGTCCATGTGTTTTAGCTGTGATATGGATTGTGTGACTGGTGGAAGGTATTCGTCATGCTGTGTGTATGACTTTGAGGTGGAAGTCTACTTCTGCTCGCACACACGTACCTGATCAGGGAAAAACTCCAACAGGAACGGGCCCAAAAGAATTATGCCCAAACTCTCTGGATCCAGCTTAGTCTTCACCAGACTGACACTGAGAAGGCACAGAAACAGAGATGGACAGGAAAGGACGTAAATAAAAGTGAGCAGAGGAAAACAAATCAAGAAATCCAGAGAGAGAAAACATGAGTCAAAAGAGAAGGGATTTGGGGGGAGCCATTGGTTCAGTTCAAAAACACAAAAGGAATGGTCTGCGATGTCTTGTATGTGTATGAAAACCGAGTCAAATTTATGATCAGCTCATCACTCAATATGGACCCGTGTTTGGTGCGTGCCTGCATGTTTTCATGAATATCGTGGTGCAACTAAATATACCTCTTTCCAGACATTCCTGCGTGTTAGATCAGTGTTATTATTATTCCACCGTGATAAAAAAATCTGGTCCGATTGCCCTTTTAAGGCAGCGAGGAGAGAAATGGAGTTTATGCCAAGACACAGAGGGAAAGCAATGTTTTTTCATCCATCGATTTTTACAAGTAGCATGTGAAGCCGGACAGCATAGAGAGCAGACAGCGACCCTGCTGAAGTGTCACTGAGCAACACTGTAAATCCCTAAAAGCGTCAGTCAACCTTCTGCTCCCTTTACAGGGAAGTGAGGGGAAGAGAACACCTCCTCAGGGGTGAATAAAATATCTCGTTTTTATATCAACAAGTGGTTTTGTGTCGACGGGGATCAAGGGAATCGGTTGTTTGCGGTGGGTTTGCACAGCATCTACTGCGTGACTGGATATGACTTCATCGTTTAAAAAATGGACTGGACACGAGATCGTGGTGCGAGCAAAAGCCTTTTCTGATCATGTCACAGTTAGTGGTTGTGTCCAATTTATCCTCGTGGGTTGTTATTTAATCATCATGTCTGCAGGGACTGGTGTATATCTATCATTAGTAACTGTGCATTGTCTTCTGGAAGAATTACACAAAGACAGTGAATAACAATCTGTATTGTTACATTTGCTAGAATTGTCTGGCATTTCAATCTGTTAATAATGCTTAAAAATGTCACTAAAGTCACGTTTACATTCACAAAATATTCAGTTTTTTGCCCTTATTCTGAAAAACACAGTATTCCTACTCAGCTGGCTGATGAAAATGAATATTTCATTTATATTCCTGTTAACATCCAGCCATGAAAACTCTTATTAATGTGCCTTAAAGGATAACTTCGGTATTTTTAAACCTGGGCCCTATTTCCCCATGTGTATGTGTGCGTATGATTCGTAGGTACAACTCGTTTTAAAATTGGTTCAGTATTGAGGGAGGCGGATGCAGCCGGCAGCCGCGAGGTAGATATGGGGGCAAATGCGTCCCGTATAAGTTTGCGCATTACAAGTGCTTTTTTTCGCCACTGACCGGTTCAGATCGCCAGTGTTATCTCTGTAAATAGCATAACCTGTGAGCTAGTTCAGGCAGTCAACTCGAGCTGCGCTGATTCATACACACACGTCATACATCATCAACCAACACACCCTCCCAAGTTGGTGCCNCACTTTTAATGCGCAAACTTATACGGGACGCATTTGCCCCCATATCTACCTCGCGGCTGCCGGCTGCATCCGCCTCCCTCAATACTGAACCAATTTGCTTCTTTGCATCACAGTAGGATTTGTTTCGATGTTTTACATCAGTGGCGGACTTGTTCGACCGTACGAACACAGCCATCCTCTTTCATTCCTTCGACCACGTTCTTGAAAAGGTTGGTGTTGCAATAATTGTGCATTTACAAAAACCTGTTAATATCCTTGTCTTTCATAATGCTTAAAAAGTAGGTGTATTTCCCCTTCTGACCAGAAATTTGGGCTTTGCCTTAAGGCATGCATCTATACCCCACAGCCTTGCAAACTGTTGGCCAGTTGGTTTGTGTATAACGCACAGAGCTGATGTAAACAGGCAAAAGGGCAGTATGTCGCAAACTGCAGTAAAAACCTTGATTGAGATGCGTATTCCAAATGCACTGTGCACATGTCCAATGAATGCTGTTAAAACTCAAATAATATTGGTAAATCCCACATGTCTTAATCGTAAAATGCTACATTCAGAAAAAGGCTTATTTCGGACAATCCAAACGAAATATGCTGGTGACATGACCTGTATCAAATGGAGCGACACCTGTGAGCTAGTTCAGGCAGTCAACTCGAGCTGCGCTGATTCATACACACACGTCATACATCATCAACCAACACACCCTCCCAAGTTGGTGCCATTTAAGCTGCAAAATCTTCCCAGCTCTCCCTTTCGTTTTCTATGCTGCTGCTGCCTTGCATCAGTACTGCCTCTTGCTCTTTCAGCCCCATGTTCCCCCCAGCATCCACCTGCAGGCTCTGCCTAAGGGGGGAGGATATGTAATCATCACTCCCCAATATCTCATGTGAACATATCTGTGGGGAGCAATGAGGCCAGAGTCTAGATGCCAAACTGTAACCATGTTCTGCTGATAAAATTAACATTTAAAACCTGAGTTGTCTGACTGAAATTAAAAATATTGTCATATTTGGAATAATAACGTGCATTTAAACGTAGTCATTGAGTGACAGAGGATTGGATATCCAAGATTTGCTCCATAGTAAATGGCAGAGTGACATTGTGGACACAGTAATTATACCCACGGTGATTTATATGGGTGTAAGAACACATCTTTGTATTCCTGTCATAACGTTAACATAACAGAAATTAATAATAATATTTTTGATTAATTCATGTTTCAATGCTATTATGCAGCACATCTGGCTGTTCAGTTTGCAAATTATTTCATTAGAGAGCGATTATTTGATAGTTCACTAGAATGGTAATTAGGCATTCTATCTATTTTGTGGATCTGCATTTAATTTAAATCAAACTTTAAAGTTTAATTCCATAGAAAATCACAATAAACATTCCTGTAGCTGTATCCTGACTTTTGCTGAGAACATTCAGTGTTCACAAAGTTGTTTACCACAAATGATCGCAGCTGATGGCCACTGGTCATGGGATATGTAGGACTACTAAGTCACAGGCAACCTGAAAACAGTTTGCACTCATCTTCAAAGAGTGATGAAAGACTTTGATTTAGTACTCCTAGATACTTAAATTAATCACCCCCCTCCCCGAGCACTAAAGATGCTACTTTTTCACATGGTGGAATCCCTACAATAACTCTCTCATTGTGTGGTAAGGAATGAGACTCGCCTGTTTGCACTGGGAGTCTCCCCCCAGTTTGCTATGTTGTTGTTGTGATCTATCGCCCATCTGGGGGTCTGCGGAGCAAATCAGTGGTCCAGTTACTTGGCCGAGGCCCACGTCTGCAGCGTTAGGGCTTACTATTCCGCAGATGAGAACGTGCTTCTGTTTGAAGCGGCACTTTAAAGCATTTCCTCCCTCTCACAATCTTTCTTCCTGCAGTTAATGATCTCCTCCTAAGCCTCTGATTCTGACTTTCTTTCTTTTCGTCTTTCTTTCTTCCTCAGCTTTTATAGTGGGCTCTCTCTGGTCCTACTTTATAGTAGCGTGGTAGTGAAACATGAGCGCAGGGCTGCTGACCTGGCCTGGCCGTGACTTAGGAGTTAGAACTTTAGAAGCTCTACAGGTGCCGCACACACACAAGCTGAAATTCACACACAAACATAAAGCCTTAAACATGCAAGCACTTACTACTCGGGCTCTGAGACAAGGTCAAGGGCTTTCATCACGTCCTCGAGCAGAGACTCTGGGATGAAGCCATTATCTAGAGAGAGAGGGAGAGGAAGAGACATAAAGTGGGGCTGATGCACTGGCTGACCCCGCACAGAACATAAAATACAGGCTTCAGTTAAAAACCAGCGGAAGCCTTCACCTACATATATGGCACAAGAAGTATTTACATCATTGGCCCTGGGGAATGAACTCAACTGACACAACTAAATGAAAAAAAAACCTCACACACATGCGCACACACACCTTGTCCTTTCTCTCTGACCTACATTCCATGGCTGTGATGATTGCTTTACCTGAGAGGAGAAGCTTTAAACACTAACATGTGTTTTTGCCCCAAAGAGTATTTCTGTGCGTCTGAGCACTTACCGATTTGTCTCCTTTAAACCTCAGCATGTGAGCCTGTGTGGCCTCTTGTTTAGATACATACATAAACCCCTAGTGTGTCGTGGAGATTAACTGACAAGCACTCTGCTTGTCCGCTCTCAAGCAACTCAATCTCAGCCTTCTCAATGCAAGATGTTATTTTCGCAGAGTGACAATTGACAGTCTGGCAGCCAGCACAGACACACACACACACACACACACACACACACACACACTTTACACAGAGACAATGACAAACACCATATATTGAAGAACATCCTGAGACAGTTGGTTGCTGCGTGTGTATGTGTTGTGAGTCACTGTAGTGCATGTGAATGCATCTGGCGCCCCTTTTCCACAACACAGGGAGCTGTGCTGACTCTACATGTGACACAGACAGATTTACGGGCCTTTTAGTGTGCTGCTGGCAACGCCATGTGTCTATACACTGCGGTGTGCAAATGTATATGCACCATGTAGAATACATCCTCTTTGCATGTGTGCATAAATGTGCTTTTATGTGTGTAGATGCACCTACTGTGGCCCATGCATGTGTGTATTTGCACAAGTGTGTGTGAGAAAAGACCATATGGCTTGCAGAATGTCCTGGCAGATGATGGGAGAAGTGGATTTGAGAATATGCAAAGCTGTATTTGGTGCAACAGGAAAAGACAGATGAAGAACAAGGAAAAGAAAAAAAGATGACAGACAGTTCAGTTTACATATTTTGTTGTCGAACTTGCTGGAGCAGGCGAGGCTGCTTTCAGCTGGTAGGTTTTATCTCACTACAGTGTTTCGCACCACACATGCAGATCTCTACAAATCAGCATGTTGCTCCAGTGAGCCTGATTGTGAATAATGTTGTTTATGGCGACAGAGCACAGCACACTTCATTTCACAATAAAAACTCATAAATATGAAGGTACTCATTACGACAGGTCCTCAGCTGAACACTCTTGCAACATGTGTAGCTCTAAGTGTGTGATGTTAACATGCTCATGTTCTGTATCTCTCCCTCTTCTCTCTCGTCTCAGAAGAAAAGCATTATACAACAGCTGCTTGGACTAAATGCTTCATTTGAATTCTCTTTTTGTGCCTAAGTGCTCATGAACACACGCAAACACCCCACCCTGTAATCTTGAGGCGACACAAATGAATGCTGCAGACTTCATCTGACACGATGATATGTCCTCTCTTTAACTTTCTACTGACTTTATGTCACCCTCTGTTTCCTTTCCCTCGCCTTTTACCCCAGCCACCTGGAAGTGACAATACAGGAGGCATGGGAAAGTGAGGAGGAGAGGGACAGAGCGGGACGGTTGACTCAGCTGTAAGAGGAGCTGATCTCACCAACCTAAACAACAACAGCGGAGATGAGAGGAGAGAAACAGGCCCTCGTCCTTCCTGCAGAAGAAAATAACGGAGACGAGAAGAAAAGACGAGGCGAGGAGGGCAGTGGAGGTTATGAATGCATCTGCTCAACGAGGGAGTAGGCAAGAGAAACACAACAGGGCCAGGATATTGTTTGATCAGTGTGTGTAGCTGTGTTAGAGTGAACGTTTGGATGAATTACAGTACATCAGTGTGTCAGGATTTTCAGATAGCTGATGCACTAATGAGCGAATACTGGTCTGTAAAAACTAGTGTGCACAGGGTGAAGGGCAGGAGTGCAACAACATAATAATAACTCATACACTATATACTCGCTCATTACCTTCAGGATCGAATGACTGGAAGACCCTCCTTGCCTGTTCTGATGGAGACTCTGGACCTACCAGGGACATCTCCTATAAGGAGGGAGAAACAGAAATATAGGAAGAAATGTATGAGAAGGAGAAGAAAGAGAAGAGAAATAGGCGAGCAATTGTGCATGACATCATAAAGAGATCTGACCTAAAAGAGGCCACATAAGAGAGTGTTGCAGTAAGACAGTGAACAGACGGATCGAGCAGGGAGGGGAGGAAGAATTAGATCACATTGTGGCTTCATCAGTGCCGAAACATTAGAACAACCATCTAGATCTGCTCACAACTAACAGACTTTGATTGTTCTTGTCAAGGTTTAGAAGCACTAATGTACAACACACTGGAGTAGAGCAGTCAGCATATAGCATCATCCATTACAGCAGCTTGCAATGCTCTGCGAATGTACATTGTGTATGCATATGTGTGTGTGACTATGTGTAATCGGTGGGGCCAGCGCAATCACTGGAACCCATCGGGTTATTAACTGATCTGCTGATAAAGTTAGACGGCTTGTTTTCACTCCAAACACACAATCAGGAAATCAAGTCTTACATATACAGCCCGTGATTTATGACAAGCTCTACAGTGTTTGTTTGTTGGTGGAATTTAGAAAGAGCAGTGTTGGCAGGGAGATCAGAAATTGGGGTGTATGTGCATTTAGAAAAGGCCGATGCCCCTTTTGACTGGCCTGCGATGTAGACGTTGATTAAATGAACACTTCCTTGTTCTCTCTACACTACGGGCCTCAGCATGCTTCAAATAAAATGCTTGTCAGATCATGTAACAGCATATAAAACCCCCTCAGCTCACATTCATCCAATGTCTGCGTTTGACAATTTTTGTAACCTTTTGAAACAGAAAATCTGTCAAACATTATCTGGGCCTTTTCCATTTTTTATACGACTACTTCCATCACTTTTCAAGTGTGCAAAATGAATGCCACAGAGGAGAAATTATCCAAAAGTGTGCATGTGTAATCCCCAATTTTAAGACTCATTGTGCTGAAACCATAGACACATGAAAAACTGCCATGTTTGTTTTGAGCATACAAAACCCTTAAAGCCTCAGTGTGTAAAAATGATGAGTAACAGTGACATCAGCGGTCAAATTCTAGATTGCAGCGCTCACTCGCTCACCCCTCCCGTCGGGTAAGTGACGGTGGCCTCGTAGGACAAAAAGCCTTGCACAGACAGAGATGGCATCATCCACGAGTTTTTCAAGTTTTTCAGGAGTAGGCCTATCTAGCGATGAGGTGAATATTTATTTAGGAATCTAAACCATGTTACGATATTGTAGTGACCCTGCATCAAATGTTCTGTTATAATGTCAATGTTCTGTGAGTTAATAGCATGTTTGGGATTGTATGAGTATAAGTAGGGGGGCGGGGTGCGAGTGTGATGGGAATGAGGGCTGTGTGAGTGCGCGTGCTGGTGTGTGTATGAGCGAGCTGGAGGAGAGAGCAGGAGTGCACAGTTGGAGTTACAGCTAAGTTCTTGTTTGTTGGTTGTTTTGGTGTAGTTACGGCCAACAGTAACCTGTACTGTTCAGTAATAAACGGTGGTTTGCCAAATAACTGCGTCATCCTTTCCACACGTCCCGGCGGACGTTACAATATGTTATAGCTTACCAGTGAGATATAAGTTATCTGTGAGATATAACGTTATGTTAGGAGTGCTTTATTTCTAATTGTTTTGGTAACACAAGCAAGCATTAGCACAGTAATGCTAAAGTAACACGTTTATGTGATAGTCACGGCACAGTGCGGCAAATATAGGTTGGTACTATTATGATATATGCGTCTCCAGAGTGTTCTTCCACAGGAGTTCTTTCCACCTGGAATAAGCAACGCTGATATTCATTCGCGTTTTGTCCCGTCCTCGCTTATCTGATGGCGTGGTTTCCCTCTTACGGGGCAAAACATATGTGTGGTCCTCCATTTAAAGTGCGACAGAATCATAAAAGTACAAAGCAGGTTCACACAGAAGCGCCCCGGATTGAGCTTCACCTTCTGTCTCCAGTGACGGCAAGTTCTAGGTAAACGCAAAAGGTGAAGCGTGTATATCCCTTTCGGCCACTGTATTCAAATAAGGCGACGCAAGAGCGCAGCCTCCAGCATACCGCGCCCTGCCTGTGTATATATAGAGAAATCATTCTAAGCCTGCGAGAAAGCTTCCATTTGTATGTGAATTGCATTACACTTTAGTAAATATATATTTATGAAAGCAATAGTTTATATTTGCTAATAAACCATGTAGATTACATATTGTAACTTTAACTCTCTAAACCCACAGACCTGTCACAGATCACATGGGAGCGTTTCTCATGCCCCCTCCTACATTTTTAAGCATTATCTGACATCTCTAAACTTACTGTCAGATCTTGTCCAGAGCTCACAGTAAGTTAAACAGCTGGATAATCATCAGTTTAGATAATCAACAATGTAAGCAAACAATGATAAGGAGTGCAAGTGTCAGAGATCCTTACAAATATACTGCATGATATAACCATTTAACCATTTATTTAGAAGAGATCGCAGGGATGAGGATGAAATAAGATACCTCTCAAAAAGATGGCTTTTCAGCCTAAACTGTCAAACAGACACACACACTCATGCAAAGTGTGTAGGCGAGAGTCAGAGGGTTCTCACTGTTCTTCCTGATGAGTGAGGGAGGGAGTGTATTTATGACAACTAAGCGCTGGACAAACACACTATGTTTTTGGAGAGTAAGTGATCCCTGCTCATCTCCTTTAGCTGGCCTTTATTAAAGCTTGAGCCTCTGATCCACGCAGACTGCTTAAGGTTTCATGGTCCACTTATTACCGTGTTCAGGGTCTTACTCGGGGGAAGAGGGAGACAGAACGGGGGAGAGAGGGGTTTAGGGGGGACACATCGACAAGAGATGACTCCCAGCTGCCGGCTCTTCAGATGCAAAGGAAAACACGCACAGGCCGGCGAACACGCGCTCACACGCAGTTCTGTCACACAGAGTGTAGCAAGGTCCTGGTGTGTTAACATTACAGGCTACATAAATCTGACGGTAGATTTGTCATTAGCCAGATATGTCTGTGTTTCACTTACAGGGGTGGACAAGGGTCATTTTGCTGTCCCAGGAGGAATTAAGTGCTAAAAAAAAAAGCGTCTTAGTGGTTGACTGCATTCTAAATATGAATGTGTGTGTCTTAAAACATGAACTGTAGCTAGACCATTACTTATATTACATTTATAAACAGCATACCTTAACTACAAAAACACATATCTCTTCCCAAAGTGATGAGAAGCTTAATCGATCTTAGGCTGCCGTATACAACCCCTGTAAGTCCAGTGTGTCTCATGAAGCACGGCTCGACTAACACGGTTTATTGTCTTTCAGAGCAGGATGGACACAGTCTGCGTAAATCACCAGGTAATACCACAGTTACAATATGTCAACACTCCACCGGAACACTTGTAAGTGGTCTTCAGCAGACAAAACAACACAAAACATACCATTACTGCTGAACTATACATGCGAACATTAGGCTAATGAACACATGAAAAAGACAGTGAGTCACATGAGCATAAGATCATACACAAACACGCAGACGCACATAATGGGAACAGGAATTACGTGATCACATGTGTGATGACAGGTCTGCCTGGCTCTCTTTGATGTGTGTTTTATTAGAGGCCCGAGGAAGATGCTGCTGAGTTGGAAAACATGTCATGGAGCTAACACACTCCGCAGGGAAGGTGTGTGTGCAAGTGTGTGTTTTTGTGTCTCTGCGTTTCTTTCCTCTCCACAGTGTGTGTGTAAGTGACTGCATGACTGTGTCTGTGTAAGAGAGAGAATCTGTGCAATAATTAGACCTGTCCCCTGCCGAAATTTGTTTGCTTATACCCGAATACAAGCTGGCGTGCTGTTCTCTGGATGTGTGCAGATATTCATGCTCCTGCAGAGATGCAGTACAATGATGCACACTCACACTTTTGCACTGATGCCAGGTCCTTTGTAAGTGTGCCTTATGAAATCAAGGAGCACATTCCAATCCCCACAGTCTTACTTTTTTTTTGCACAAACCCTTGACCCCCTTAACAGAGCAACAACAAGCTACCCTACATAGGAACAAAGCAAGAACAACACATGCACCACTCTGATGACTTAAATACACAAAGTAATGCAGACCATTTGCTCTGAGCAAAACAAGAATACATTTGCTGGCATCAAAGATGTCTTGTTTAAGAGCCAACAATTTCAAATGACCATAAAATGCTTTGGTGTAAGCAGGGGTGTTTGTGTGTCTTTGCAGTTAAGTCACGAATACTGACACATCCAGACTTGTCCCATTGTCCCGATTAAATCTGCACTGTACTGTCTGCACTATACAGTGTGTGTTTGTGTGTGTGAGCCTGGTTTTCTTATCATTGGACCAGATTTCCTGCATCACACCCTGCTAGATAAAGAACCAAGCTCTGTATGTAACCTCTATATCGTTTGTGTGTTTTTCGGGGGACTCTACTGGCCACTGCCTGGACATTCACCTCTAGCCATCTGCACTTCTGTTGCTCTCTCCTCACTGGGCCACATTTCCGATGCGGGGTGCGAAGAAAAATGAAACAGAGAAAAGGACCCAGTACCAAAATTAAACAGAGTAAAGTCAAGCCTCATAGGTTGACAACTCATCCCCAGTAGGCCTCTTTCCTCTGTTGTTTCTATTGCTCAGCTCTACCCCTTTTTACCTGCCTTTCCTGTGCTAAGTAGCTACTCTACTTTTGGAGTATTTCCTTCCCTCTAACCCTTGACTTTTTCCTCCATTCTTACTTCCCTTCTTTGTGCTTTATCTCCTCATGCAGGTAGGTACTTCAGGAAAGACAGGTAGGCATAGTACTTTACTAGAGTTACTCTTTCTTTCCCTCCGGTCCAGCCAAAGAGCTATTGTGCATGCTGAGAGGCTCTGAGTGGCCATAGAGTGCGTCTGAAGGGATCGGTTTCAAGACAACAAAGCAGAGGTCTTGGACAGTGTCTCCTGCCTTGTTCCTAGCAGGCAGCGACAGCCTCACTACA